TGAAGATGATAATATCTATGATTAACACCCTCCACACTAAAAATGATTAATCAACCTCTCATAATTACAAAAAATGAACAAAATAAAAAATTATGATTGGTTGAATGCGGTTTGCACAGTTTGTACAAATTGAGTGGTTTGCATTTGATCGCTCCCCTATATATATATGTATGTATATATATATATATATATATATATATATATATATATAAGGATCCGTTTGATTTACATGATTGTTTTTAAGGGATTTGGATTGGAATGAATTTGAAATCATTCTAATGTTTGCTTTGTAGGATTTAGAATGTAATTGTATCTTATTATTTATAAATAATTTATAAAAGATTTATAAAAATAATTGAATTACATTTTTATTAATCGATTATTACAAAACAAATATTTTCAACATTTTTAGAACCTTCTTGCATACAATCATATGAAATCCCAAGTACCCTAAGAATTTCAAATACCTACGTTTGTAGGATTTCAATTAAACCCTATGATTTTTAATCCAGACAATCCAACAAATCAAACATGAGATTAGAATGAATTTGAAATCAAAATCCCTCAAATTCATTCCATTCTTACAAACCAAACGAGACCTAAGTAAATGTTTATAAATTAACTATAAAAATATACATATTAATAATACAAAATTAAATATCGTTTAACGAACATATTTATCTGTGCAAATACATCAAATGGACATTGGATATTGTTTGATCGCAAAATAAATTTATATAAACAAAAAGATTAATAGAGATACGTCAAATTAATTTCAATATTACACAAATAAAATAAATGTAATTATCGATGGTTGCATTACAAAAAATAAATCAGTAAGTCCCAAAAATAACATGATTAATATGATTGTGGTAGGTTTAAATAAATAATAAGTAGAGATGAGAATGAGAATGAGGCGGGTATTAGGAGGGTAATGCATCCCTTGTCCTCGAACCCAACCCTGTTTAAGCTCCACGTCTCCGACCTTGACCTCACCTCGTCTAATCCCCAAAGGGTTCAGGGAGAAAGGAATCCTTAACGGGTTTAAGGATGGGTACTCTTTCAGTCTAAAACAATTAAAACAATTTATTTTAAAATTAAATTACAATGAATCGTCACTATAATAATTATGAATATTGAAAATCAAACATATTTGTCATTTAATATTAAATGTATTATACATACATTTATTATACACACGCACACATACTTAACTAAATAAAATATTTAATCGGGGTTCGATTAGGAGCGGGTAATATCATCTCCGACCTTGTCCAAACCCTGCTTCGAGTAAGAAAACAAACCCACGTTCCCACTCCATTACCCACAAAAGCGGGGAATCCCCACTCCATTAGAGTCAGGTACTTGTTCCACAGGTAAAAAATTCATTCATAATAGCAAGTATACATCTACATAAAAGGGCGCTTAACAATATATACATGTGCATCGAGATATGTAATATACATAATCGCAATTACATACAACAATAAAATTGATGTAATTTATAATGATATTATTTTTGTAGAATTGTTTGAAAGAACAATATTATATGTGTTAATGTGTTATATATATTTATAGTAAATTGATGATGTTTTGACTGTCCAAATATTAATTATCTTCTATTTAGTTCATCATATACCCAATTAATTATATGTGTGGTTGAATAGAATGTAAATTGTTAATGTGAATAAGTAACATTTAATTGGTTTATGAAGACTCTTTACATGTGTAACATATTATGTTGTAAATCTCCAATTACGATATATTTCTACATGAATTTTGGTGACTTTTGACATATATCAATTTTTAATGTAGACTATTAACATTTAATGTATTTGTGAAATTTGATATAAACAATTGTTAATCTAAACAAGTGACATTTAATTCATTTAAGTGTGTAACGTGTCATGAAATAAATGAGAAGTTATATAATATTTTAATATTTATATAGGATCATCGTCTTTGTAGATTCTAAACTTTTAAGTTGTATCATAAATCCTTAAAAAACCTACCACAAGAATTGTGTCTGATTAGTTTGAGCTTGACTCCAAAGATCAAAAGTACCTGAAGGTCCCAGGTTCAAATCCAGGGAGGAATAAAAATTGTCTTGTGGCCACGGAGGTTCAAATACGGTGACTCCGAGCTATCTGCAAAGCAGATGGTCGCCTTAGGATTAGTCAGTTCGCAAAGCAGATGGTCGCCTTAGGTTTCATGTTTAACATGAAACCTAATGATATAAAGACTAAAAATTGAAGCAACAAAAAAGAAAATTTTAACAACATAAACTACAAAAAAAAAAATCTTTAATTTTCCAATTACACAAAAGTAAAATTATGTGAATATTATAATAACTCACAATTATTGAAATGTTACTATCAATCCTTTTAATATATAATAGAAACTTTGAATTAACGTTAAATAGATCATTGTGTAATATTAACACAGGACAAACAAAAAACAAATAGCTTATTTTTTTTAATTATCGAATATATAAAAAATAAAATATCCCCTTTTTCATACCAAGTTTTTAACCTTGCTGCTCATAGCAAAACAAATTTATACACAATAAAAAAACATTACCTTTTTCGTTACTTATTTTAGATCTTATATTAAATAAATAAATAAAACTTTAAATAAATTTTAAACAACATTAAAAATAATGAACACATATCGTATATTAAAAATAATTTAGTTAAAAGCAAACAAATATACATACCAAACCCAAACGAAATATAACACACACAAATCATAAAATAAAATGTAACAATTTTTACATGGATTCTATGGAGGAAGAGCGACGATATCAACCATAAAAAGTTTTGCAAAAAAAACCAACACACATCAATAACAACAAATAACTCACAACAAAACATAAAATAAACCATAAAAATTATAGCTTTCATTTAATTAGACATTCAACTGTATAATTTGCAACATGATGGAGGATCCGGTGAAACAAAAGAAAAATAAACGTTAAATAAGACATAATATATAAATGTGATGAAAAACGGAATAGAAAACCGAAATGTTTAAAACATTTATGACTTAATGAAATATAATTAATATAACCAACAAAAATATTTAAAAAATCTAAAATTTTGAAAAAAAAATTAAGAAATAACTCTTCCAAAGAGTGAAAATATGACAAAAGTATAATAAATATCTCTATGAGTTAGGTAGATTGAAAGTTAAAGCTAATTAAATAAAAGTGAAATTACCAAATTAGCCTTCTTAATTATAATGAAACACAAATTTTCATTTAGGTGTATAATAGTCTTTAATAATGAGAAAATTTCTTTAGACAAATACTACTCTAAGAATGTGCCACATCATTCTTTGTAGGGTCTTGAGTGAGCCAAATCAATCTTTAAAGCAATAAAAAAGACTTGATAAAAACTGGCAAATACCAACTTCTCCACCTCGATTGTTTCAAACCAGTACACAACTGCCATCGACCCCCATTCTCGTCCCCATCCCCACTCTGAGGTGGTTATGAAAAGAAACTTTTTACCGTTACAAATTTATGTATATTAATGTAAAATCAACATGTTGAAAAAACTCAAAAGGTACAAAAGACCTTTTATGCCCTTGGATTCATTTCTCTAAGACAACTTTAAACAAGAAGTATGGTGTAATTCTCCCAATAACAAGCAATTTGCATCCCATGTTGATTTCCTGTGTAACAACGGATATCATACCAAGAAAACCGAAATTTTTTTTGCTTACAAATATTAAAACTAATTAAAAAAAAATTAGTTTAATCTAAATAAATGTTCTTCGTTTTATAAATGAAGCATCAAAATTCCACTAGAAGACTTTACCAATCATAATGAATGAGAAAATCATACATTTGAAGAGGCAAAAGGACATTTTGTCTAGATTGGTGACCAAACTTGAGGTTGAGAAAGTCAATAAGAGTGATGGGTACCTAAAACAATTCAATCTCCTTGACAAAAAAGATATCAAGTCAACGGCTTTCCAAGATTAAGCAAAACTATACACTACCATAAAGCTTGTTTTATGTGATAAATTTCAAAATCCAATTGAATACCCATTAATAAATTTTTAAAAGTGAATTTGAAACTAGGGACAAATAAAAGCAAATGGTTGGTTAAAGTTAGACATAACTAAGGGAGTGTTTGCGGTTGCTTATAAGAATAACTTATTGACTTATTCCGGTGTGTCACCGGTAATAAGCACTTTTGAGTGTTTGGATAAACAACTGATACCGGTGCCAAACCGGTAATAAGAAGTTTTTGAAGAAGTTAAACCCTTTTGACTTATAATAAGTTGATAAGTGTTTTTTGTAAAAAATCATAAGTTATTTTTTACAAGCAATCCCAAACACCCACCAAGTGTTGGAGTAAAATCCCAATAGTTGCAAACAAGCTCTTTTTTGCGAGCTTGATGAGTTGTTCTCACTGGCCTTATAAAATAGTTTGGGTTTGACTATGGGCTAACATGCCAAAAACTATTTTATATGTTTTAATAATGAAGTCAGTATCTGAAAAAGAGTTATTGTTGAGTTTGGCTTTGGAGTGACCAAAAGTTGAGGTTTAGAGCATGCTAAATATTTTAGACTTTAGATCTAGGGTTTTCGTAGTTTTAGTTCAAGAATGAATGTTCATTGTTCAAGGCCACTTGTCTAGCAGGTCAAATGGACCTGGTTTAGGGCTGTTTAGCAGTCTGTTATGTCTATGAACAACTCAGTTATACCAAAATATTATAAATGTTAAACAAGCCTCGAGTCCAACTCAAACATCGACAAGATATTCAAGTTCGAGTTCGAAAAATATTGTGAAAACTTTATTCGAGCTTGATCCCACCCAAAGTTTGTTACTTGGTTCAGCTTGTTTAAACTTTGAAGAAAGAAAACGTGAAAAGGAGGTATAAAATGAAGAAAATATAAGAACAAGGGTGTGATATAGAAATTATTAGTTGTTGGATTATTACTTAGACGTCCCATCCAGAGCCTGAAAATGTAGGTCATATGTGAAACTGACTTTGCAACATTTCCTTCAATACACCTTCAACTTCTCCATAATTTAACATCTAGCCCCTATAGATTGGTACTTGTATCGATGAGCCCAAAACAAATAATGCAAGAAATTCAAACCGCTCAATACGCACATCAGCCAGTAAAATCTCTCCAAATGGTATTGGTTCAAGTTTCCACCGGAGAGCCACCCAGGGTGGCCGGAGCTCCCGGTGGCGCTATTCACGATTGACACCATCACCGTGCTCAAATAGTACCCCATAGCCAATGATGCGAATGATAGCGAGGTGGCTAGAGATTTCATACTTGCCGGAGCTTCGGTGAAAAAGAACTCCATTAATCCGGCCAATGTGAAAAGATCGGCAGACCCGAGAAACAAGTATTGGAAAGCGATCCATAGAAATGTAATCGGCAATGGCTCACTAGGATCGAATCCGGTTCTTGTGGCGATCCCTTTGCGTTTGATCTCAACTAGTGCCGCAATGGCCATGGCCATTATCGAGAAGAGTAGGCCTACTCCGATCCGTTGTAAGTGTGAAACACCCATTTCTGATTTCCTGGCTTTTCGGGCAAACGGGATAATGATATGATTGTAGATCGGACCAATGACAATGATGAATATCACCGGAAAAACCGGGAGGGAGGCAGCTGGAACTTTTAGTGATCCGATCTTTGTATTCATGGTGGACGCTTGTTGGACGGAGAATGTCGAAAGCTGAGCTAGGCAACAGTTGAGCATGATAGTGCAACCGAAGGTCGGGAGGACACGTAGGACGACTTTGACTTCTTCGACTTGTTTGACCGAACATCGGAGGAAATTGTAGGCCGGTTTGTTTAGTGCTGCACGATTTAAGAATCGGAGACTCGAAGACAGAGTTTCGAGTTCTTCGAGATCTTTGGAGACGGTTTGTTGTTGTTCAACATTGTTTGGCGGTAACGACGTCATGCTTGCGATGGCATTGCTTGGATTGACGTTTAACATTGATGCAATCAATACCTGCATCAATGTTATACGTTAAATAACACCACAAAAAAGACAAATAGAGATAACATTTTTCGGTAAAAAATAAGTGTTATTTTAATTTGTCCTAAAATAAATCTCTATTTATAAAAAAATGTCTAATTTTCAATTTCACAATTAATTATGAGATGAAAAAATTAATTAATCTCATTATTATTAAAAGTAAAATTATTATTTAATTAATTAAAAAAATAATAATAACTCATTTCAAAAATTATATGTTTTTTTAATTATGAACACTTGTTTTGGGATGAATAAAGTATTTCTTTTTATAATGTTACCTTAAAAATTGTGGTGAGAGGGCTTCCGGAAGGGATCTTGTTCCTGTAAAAACCCGAACCAGCTAGGAACACAGGGATTGACAACAAAACAGTCAACATAGAAATTCCGAAACCCCACTCCCATCCTTTGTTGTCTTCGATCCAAACCACAAAGGTAACTGCAATAAGAGCACCAATGGCGAGGCAAACCACAAAGTAGTTAAAAAACGTCGATCTCTGTTTTCTTCCCTTCACGGTGTTGTCATCGAATTGTTGAGCACCGTGTGCAGGTAGAGATCCTTTTATGCCTCCTACGCCTAACGCGACCAAATAAAGACCCAAAAACAACATCGTAGCTTTTGCACCGTGCACATCTTGACATGGTACCGCAACATTTATAGGGTTGCATTCGGGTGGCTTTAACGATGGCGAATGAGCTTGGATTGTCAGTATCACAAGACCCTGATCAAATATAAAAAATACAATTGTCACATAATGCGATGTCGCAATTTAAAAAATGCTTTAAATAATTTTTTATTCGAAAAATCTTCAAATATTTGTCGAGTACAAGAAAGATGTCTATATAAAAATCTAAACAACCCACTAAAACGCTACCTTCGGTATAAAAATCAGATCAAGATATAAATATATTATTTAACTTGATACATACATGTTCTTATTTTAAACATTTAGTTATTGATCGAATATTATAACATACATTTAACAAAATAAAAATATATATTGAAACCGATATTATTAATTTTTAATGATTATTAATCTGTACTATATTATAAAACATTTGACAAAAACTCTTAAAAATCATTTATTTATTTATTTATTAAACTGGATAGGTATCTCACTACATTGTGCGAGTACCATTCTAATAATAAATAATTGATTTTGAATTGAAATTCTTTGAAAAAGAAGCTTGTATTGAGAACTTACTTAAAAAGTATTATATTTATTTTCCTACAAAAAAAATTACTTTATAACATACATGGTCTATAGTTTTTATATTAAAATATACGATCATTAACAAAATTTATAATTAATCATTCAATGATAATAAAATACTATAATATCTAAAAAACATGTCATGGTTTTTAGAGGCAAAGTCAACAGTGACTATAGCGTCTTCATTTTTTGCAGGTTGTCTTTATGGTTCAAGAAAATTTTGCGAGTTGTGTCTTTATGGATCATATATTTCAACGAAGCTTTGAACCAACCCTAAAACCTTAGTAACCAATGAGCAAAGCAAACCATCAAACCGAGTAGTATCCTCATCATAAATTTTGTATCGATGTGTTATAATAAGTTGTAACCAAGTTAAAAAAGAACTCACTTATTGAATCCTTACTGAATGAATGAGTTACATGAACTTGGGCTTAAATGTCTGCTTGGGCTTTGAAAATAACAATTACATTCAAATGTCAGAAACAAAGTCTTGGACTCTTAGGTATTGTGCAAGCAAAACCGTGACTCTGGGTTCTCTCTTCCTTTTTCACCAAACATAGTTTGCTTAGGGGTTGTTTACCAAATATTTAATCGGTAAGTGTTTATCAATAAAATTTAACATTATTATTTACTTATTAGGTAAGATTTTAGTTCACCAAAACGACATCGCATGCAAATATTTACCCGGTATGTGTGCTTACCGTGGTAAGAGTCATTGCCCTCATTTACCGGGTAAGACTCTTGTTCCTTGTCTCGCTCTTACCAGATAAGATTCTTGGTCTTTACCATATTCATCCGGTGAGGTAACGTGACTTGGTAAACGCTTACCCGAATAAGCGTTTGGTAAATGGCTCCTTAGATTTAAATTTTACTTGAATTTGATTGTTGTATCCTCTAAACGGAAGCTATACCGGCAAATGTTCCGACTTAGAATTCTGTGGTGCAAGTCTCAAATCTATTTCTCGATTAAAAGCTTGAATCTATCCTATCAAGTAAATTTTTTGATTGATCGTATGTTGTTTCTATGTTTTCCTATCACATAAAATTTCATATAAGAATTCCAATTATCTACAATAACCTTATATATATATATATTGATTAACCTGTATATCCAACCCGCTATACGAGCCGACTAATCTCAGACCGGAGTCACTGCATTTGAACTTTCATGGCCACAAGGGGATTTTTATTCCTTCTTGAATTTGAACCGGAGACCTCATAATACTTTTGATCTTTGGAGACAAGCTCAAACTAATTATGCACCACCCTATATATATTATATACATATACACACACACACACATATATATATATATATATATAAGTTGTAATTATTTTGACTTTGAAGAACATATGTACGTATAGAAGTTGAGTATTCATTAAGCATTGAATAACTTAAGTGAAAGGTGGTACAAATTTCGATGCAACAATAGTTATGGTGGACTGATTGATAGACACAGACAAAACGTTAATGTTATCGAAGTCTATGTCTATCTCACACATGCATGTGTCACATACCCCCATTGCCCATATCAATGCCTAATTTATATACACACATGTGTATATACTTGAGTTTAAATGATAACCGATCCAACATATTTTTTTCTTGTTTATTGTATTATTTTAATAAATTTTCTATATTACTTCTTATAATATTAAGAAGATGTTTGGAATTGTTTATTTGAAACAACTTATACTTTTTTATAAAAGTTTTTATCAATTTATTATAAATTAGAATGATTTAATTTCTTCAAAAACTTATTATTACCGGTTTGGCACCGGTATAAGCTGTTTATCCATACACTCAAAAACGCTTATTACCGGTGTCACACCGAAATAAGTCAACAAGTTGTTTTTATAATCAATCTCATATACCCCCTAAAAGTAAAAAAAATTCAAGTTTTTACTTTTAAAACTTAATATGTTGAAATAAAAACTAATTTTTTATTATTTTTATCAAATAAATTGAATTATTATTATTTTAAGTAAATCATTTTTAAAAGTTTATTGGGATAATAAATTTATAAATTATATTAATAATATAATAGATATTGAAATATTAAAAATGAAAAATATGTTGAAATTAAATGCAATTTCTTCACCAAGATTCCCTCAACCAGTCGTATCAATTGGAAGCTTCAAACATACATTTGCTTACCATGAATGAATCCTCTTTCAAGATTCATGAAAATGTGATTAAAAACATGTGAAAAGATAACTAAAAAGGTGAAAGGTGAAAGGTGAAGTTAGGTAAAAGTGGGTGAATGAATGTAAAGCTCGACATCCATGTCCATACGTTCCACTTATTTACGAAAAGCCATCACATTTTTTTTTATATCCATAGGATAAAAAACCTAGTTAAAATGCTTAAAATGTGTTCTCACGATTTTCATTGAACTCAATAGGTCTTGTATGATCTCAACCACACACACACACACACACACACAYATATATATATATATATATATATATATATATATATAGGTAGAATAAAACGAGAATATGATTAAAATAAGAGAACACGAAAATAACCAAATCACAAGTGATTTTGCATTATAATCACATATGATTACGTAACACGATCCATGCAAGGGGTGAATTTATGAGTGAGTGACGTCACCCACAATCACAGGCTGCAGCCAAAGTCATGTAAATCATATGTGATTTTAATGTAAAATCACATATGATTTGATCATTTTTCGTTCTTTTAATTTATTTATGGTTCTCGTTTAAACTTAATCATATATATATATATATATATATATAGAGAGAGAGAGAGAGAGAGAGAGAGAGAGAGAGAGAAAGAGACTGGTTTAAATGTTAATCAAGTTTATTGTGTTAACTTTGTTAACCATATTCAACCAATGGCAATCTATCTTATATATAAGTTCATATTCATCTTATAATTTAATGACAAGGGTAAATATGTAATTTTCTTTTTTATATAGCTCCCATATCATTAATTGAGAGTTGCAAAATCAAAAAATCTCATGATTTTTGTTAACTTATTATTTATCTTGTTTTTTTTTATAATATTGATTTATAATCTATGATGTTTTTGAACTTGTGATTGGTAGAGGAGACCTGATAGTAAAGTTTTCACTATCGTTCAAGCTATTATGGATAAACTTATTGTTCATAATGAAGGAACTATTGTTCACAAATGTTCATATATACACTAGCTACATATCTCAACATTGTCTCACTTCTGAATAAATTCATAATGAAGGAACTATTGTTCACAAACTGTTCATATTGTGTTCAAACCTGCTTTTTATTTATTTTCTTTTGTGTTGCAGCTATTTTTATTATGTTCATAAATGTTATGCAGTCCAAGTTCATATATATATGTCAAATTTTGTTTTTATTTGACATAATGGTTCATATATATATAAATGTGTTCATATGATTCTTACATTAACAAAAGTCATGTAATTCTTTTATTTTGTAACTCCCAATTAATGATATGGGAGTTACATAAAAAATTACATAAATACCATTTTCCACTTGTTCACATATGTTTGTGAAATTGTAAATTTAAAAAATTAAATTTTTAATATGATAAATCATAACCGTTTATTATAAGAATTAATGATCAAGATTAGTTAACAAAGTTAACACAATAAATTTGGTTAACATTTGAACCACCTCATATATTTAAAACATAAATTTATATTTCTTCTGACAGCGTAGGCTTAAGGGAATCTTTTATGACAAATTTAATTCACATGTTTAAATTATTTTCTAGGAAAAAAAAAACATTTTCGGTTAGCAACACTGAATCATAGCATCCTACTTAATTATATATTCACATAAAATGATCAGGTAACCAACAATCACTTGTGCGGTCAGTCACGCTTCTTGTTAAGCTACTAATTTTTAAAATAAAAATTTCCAATTCTAATTTTTTAAAGATTTTAATATAAATTATATTATTATAATAATCTTCGATTTTATCATCTAAATGTATTTAAAAAAACATTATATAGAATAATAATAATTTAATTAATTGGTGGTATGGATTGAAATAATCATTTTCCAACATTAAATTTTAGATAATTCCCTAAAAGATTGGAGTTTTTCTTCTCCGTATTTTTCTTATTTTAGAGAATATTATAAAAAATCTGTTGAAATAATATAAAGAACAAAATCTCTAATTTTCTATTTTAGGGTTCTATCGCTAAATTTCTTAGAGTATCTCCAACAGAAAAAAAAAAGTAGAACCAAAAGTTAAAATCTCTAAAAAATATTATATTCAACACCAACAAAATTTTCATTTTAAAGATTTTGATATACATTATATTGTAACATAGATTATATTATTATAGTTTATTATCCCAATAAACTTTTTAAAAAACTTTATACAAAATAATAACAATTTTGTCTTATTGGTAGAAATGAATAAAATAATTATTTCTCTCTCCCAACGTCAAGTTTTAGAGAAATCTCTAAACTTAAAGTTTTTTTCTTCATGTTTTCTCTATTTTGAAAAGCATTGTAGAGAATCTTGTAGAACAATATAGAGAACACAATCGTTATTTTCTCTATTTTAGAGAATTTGTTGAAAATGCTCTTAACAGTTAATAATACTCATCATATTTTTCTTCTAATTTCTCATTAATCCCGGTAATTTGATTTTAAACTTGCATAATTTGGTAATTAATCCTGTACATTTTTAAGACAAAGCAATTCTGCGTAATTAATGTTAGTAATCACTAACATATTTGGTAAATCACTTGTATAGGATATACACTTACATCTTTTAGAGCTTGTCTAATAGTCTATAATTTTTCTCAAATAAGAAAAAATTCAAAATATATAAATAAAAAATATATTACGTTACATTCAACCTCAACAATTTTTTTTAAGATTCTAACAATAATATACTATTTAATATTTAATATTTTTATAATACATCATCAAACTTTTATAAAATCAATGAAATTTGGAGACTTTTAGAACAGAATTTATTTAAGAATTCTGTTGTTGTCAACTTTTAGAAAAAAAATCTCTATTTTTGTCAATTTCAAAAATTCTTGTGGAGATGGTATTATTACTTTGTGTTTTAAACAACATTGACACTAGAGAAGGGTACTAACTCTTGGAGACGACATTAAAAACACAATTAGCATTCACATTTTATTCACCAAATTAAGGATGCATGCATGACCCCTGTATATATATGAGAGAGAGTGGGAGAGAGAGAGAGAGAGAATTACCAAGAACTCAAGAAGAGCAGTGATGAGGTAGATGTGATAAGTGGTGAAGAAAGCATCAGACAAGAAGCCACCAAGAAGAGCCAGAAGAAAAGCAGTGCCCATGAAATTTGTGACATGATTTGCTGCTTTTGAAGGAGAAAAGTGCATGTGTTGTATCAAATACAACACCAAGTTGCTTGCATTTGCCAGATATGCCAAATTCTCCATCACCTCCACAACTACACACACACACACACACATATATATATATCAACAACTAATACCCATATCTCTCTCTCTATATATCTATATATATGCATGTGTGATCAATTAATTAAGCCTTTAATTAATTAGTACCCAGGACGAAGGAGGCGGCAAGCATGCCACCATGGCGGCCTTTGATGGCAGGTTTGTTCTTCCAATCCACATATCCTTCCCATGTGTTGAGTTGTTCCATTTCCTGCAACACATGATATATATATATATATATATAATCAACAAAACTAATTAAACCCTAATATAAAGAAGAAAGGTAGTTAAAGAGGATGATCAAGAACTCACCATTTCTCTTGTGGATCTTTTGGGGGTTGGAAGTGAGGTTTTGATTAAAAGGAAAGATGGAGAAAAAGGGTGTAATTAAAAAGACTCTCTCTCTAAACCTTCACTTTCTTTCTCGGGGAAGGAAAGATTTTAATGTAGATCACTTTCACAATATCTCACAGCCTATGCTGGAATTATATATATATATATGTATGTATGTATATATATATGGTGCCAAAAATTGCTTTCAAATGGACTTTTGTGGTATTGATAAGCAATCAATTACTTAGCTTTTTGGAGAGAGAGAGAGAACTCTTCTTTCTATTTGTTTATGTGGTTGGAAGGAAGTCGGAAGAGAGGCGTTTTATAGGCATCATAAGGTAGGGTAGTAGGGTCAGTCTTGGAGGGTTGTAATCGCCAGAAATTAAAGATATGGGTCAAATTCTTTAAAATTGGAAATTTTCTGGTTAATATTTTTTCCTAACATATTCTTTATAATCCTCTTTAGAATAGAACAAAGAGGAGCTGAATTTCGTTTAGAAAGAGAGTTAATGTGAGAATTGTAAGAAGGATCTTCATTCTTGGATGCACATTAAGATGAAATTCATTGAGATGCACCAGATCAATTATGTATCAAACACAATTCATAAGTGAATTTGAGATTAAAGGTGATCAATGTTCTAGATTCATTATTATGATTCTCACATCAACTCTTATTCTCACACGATCATTCATCTAAAGAGGAGAGGAACGATAGAATTATTCAAATTTAGAGTATTCCTTAAAATGGTTGCTAAAAGGAGAGAAATGAGTTTTTATTATGGGGGTTGATATTCATACCCTGACGTCATTTTCTACACCCCCTTCTCTCACAAACTCACTCCCTCACATACTCACCCCCTCTCACATTCAACAAATTTTTTTAAAATAATAATTTTAAATTTACACTTTATACCCCTATAATTAATTAATTAATTTACTTTACGTCCTTTACTTTTAAATTTTTCATTTTACACATTTATCAAATTAACATACATAATCGTATATTAATTAAAACATGTTTAAAAAATACATTTTTATTTTAACAAGTTACACCATTATAATCGTCTTGTTAATACCTTCAAAATGAGTCCAATATTGAATAGTTTTTGACTTAATTATATTATTATATATTATATATACTGTGAAAAAATATTTTTAATATTTACGATTTATAYTTTTATAGTTCTTTATTTAATCTATGATACATCATTTATTTTTACACCATTATCACATTAAAATACATAATTTTATATTAACTAAAATTAGATCTAACAACTAAATTAACCTTTCAGGAAGCATTTTCATACCCTTTATTGATCTTGTTCATCTTACATACTCATTTTTTAATATACTTGTTAATTTTTAAATTATACTTCATATTCTTTAGTTACTTATAGGATTGTAAAGGAACCGAACGTTTATGTTCATTTATTTAATAAATGAACGAACATGAACAATTCTTTTTGTTCGTTTAATTAAACGAACGAACATTAACAARAGTCTCGTTCGTTCATTTATGTCCATGAACGTTCGTTTGTTTACCGTTCGTTTATATTCATTTATATACTAAATTTAATATATAATCTTTTGTTTATTTACTTTGACATATATAATTGTATATAAAATAAAATATGTTAACAAAATACGTTTTTATTTTAACATTGTTTTATTTAATTATGGAATTGTAATTATATAAATATCATAAGGGTATAAAATAAAAATAAAGAAGTAAATAAATATAATAAATTTTTATAAAGATATAAAATATAAATATTGAAAAAAATTCATATACAAATATATAATTTAAAAATTACATATTTTTAATATTTAATTAATTAATAATAATATGAAGTTAATGAATTTATATAATTATTAAAAAATATGTATCTGTATATGAATTTATATAATTAATAATAATATGAAGTCAATCAAATACGTGCGGTTTGAAAAATCTTAACCCAATCCAACCCAACCAAACGAAAGTGCAACCCAACCCAACCTAAGCCGTACGGTTTGGTCGGATTGATACTTTGGTACATTAAAATATTCTTCTAACCCTAATATGTTATTTCTCTACTCATAATTTCTTTGTCATCATCAACCATTTGATACAACTTATTCATACTTTTTATGTATATCACATTTAGTTAATTTTCTCAATTTACGTATATATGTTTATAGTTACTGAATATATATATACAAATGAGTTATAAAGAGATATGAATAAATTGAAAAGATATGTATATGAAAAGCGTACATGATGGTGTAATTGTCTAATGTATATATTAATATAAATTCAACAATTATATTAAATCCAAAAAATAAAAGGATATCGAGTTTATCGAGTTGAGTTCAAATAATAGTAACTCAATATCAACTCAATACATACGATTTAAAAATTTTACAACTCAATTAAACATGAGATTGTTTCATGTTAAAGTTATTTGGGTTTTGAGGACCCCTACCTCCGACTATATCTGCCGTTAAAAGAGACTGTTTAACTCGAGGACATTTTTGCCTTTTTCTATATTTTTGTTGTCTTTTTTCCTATTTCACTTTATTAAAGAATTACTTTTTATAGGGTTTAACTCGGCTCCAATTGTCTTCTCCGGCCAAACTCAACAATCTCCGAACAACTTCCTCCGGTCAAATTCACAGTCTCCGAACAACTTTCTCCTTTCTCCGACAAATCATACCCAATGAACTAAACCTTAACAAAATAAAGAAAATCAAACCTAAAGAACAAAATCAGAATCAAACCCAACCAAATCAAAGCAAAAAATTAAACCCAAAATAAAATAGATTGCTTGAAGGAAACCCAGATCTATTGAAGGAAACGATTGCACTCACAGCAAATCAAACCCACAAAAAGTCACTTCTGTATTGAAATCACAATCAAATCATAGAACCCAAAAATAAAATCGAGGGTTCATAGTGGGTAAAACCACCCTACCAAAATTGCTCTTGTTGGTCACTGGAACAGAGAATCGATTAGAGAAAAGTCATCGGTGGTGGTCATCATCGAAATAGAGAGAGAGAGAGAGAGAGGGGCAAGAACTGTGACTATGCCGATGATCCTAGTGATAAGAACAGCACACCCAGATATGATTTTATGTTCATGTGCAGTTCCATTATCATGAAGAAGCAGTCAATGGTAACTATTGAGTAGCCAAATTTGGGAAACAACGAGTTGGTTGGGGAAAATTCTGAAATTTGTTTAGGAGCGCTTTGATTTATTGTGATAACACTTCAAACGATAATTTGAAGCTGCACTTTGAAATTTGGGGTAAATATGATTCTACCTTATTTCTTTTTTGCAAATGAACTTGCACCTTTTATTTGAAGCCATACTGTTTTTTTTTTTTTGACAAACATGAAATCCTAAAATCACGAGGAGATACAGATTCGACCCCGAAGAGATCGTGGATTCCTCTCTATGGATTCCACTAAAACAATTCCTAAAATCAAAATCCAAATTAAATCATAAAATCAGAACCCAGATACAAAAACTAGAACCAAATACCTTCCATGGCCTACAACCTCCTGCATTGAAATCTATATATGGGAAGGGGGTGTTCTCGAGACAAAATTTAAAACCGACAGGAGCCAAATAGAGTTTAGAGCCGCCGGAAAAAGGGGAAGGTGTTGAGTCTCTGTGTCGGATCCCGGTCGGAGAAGAACAATGGTCGCCGGCAAAGGGGATGGGCGGGGGAGTGGGTGCGAAGGAGAAGAGGGTGGGGAAGTTCGCAGATCGAAGAAGTTAAGGGGTATCTGGGTTACTTATTTGAAACAACCAATACTCTTCTATAAAAGTTTTTTTTTTTAATTTATTATAATTTAGAATGATTTAACTTATTAAAAACTTTTTATTACTAGTTTGACATCGGTATAAGTTATTTATCCAAAGATTCAAAAATGCTTATTATCGGTGTCACACCAGAATAAGTCAGTTAGTTGTTTTTATATGCAATCCCAAACACCCCCTAAATATGGATATATGTAAAACACTTGACAAAAATTCTTAAAATCATTTTTTCCCCATAAAGTATTGTTTATTGATGTGTATTACTTAAAATTCAAAATTACAAGTAATTTTACATAAGTATAACTTATTAAAGCTCTATTTTTAAATTCATATAATTAACTGTAGATAAACATAATCAAATACATGTTAAACATCTATTTTAAATATAAAAAATTTAAAATATAATTAAGATAATAATTAATTTATAAGAGAATGTTTAATTATTTAATTATAAAAAATTATATTGTTAAATAAAAAATAAATTACTTTATTATTAAATGTAAAGTGAATTATAACAAAAAATTAAATTAATTATTTAGTTCGGTTTTGTCGCTAACTCTATTCAAATGCAAGTAAGTAATTGAGTACACCTCACATGATAATATTTTAATTTTTTTTATGTTAGGGATTAAAAGATTAAATTTTATAGGAGCAAACAATAAACTATATTAGATTTTCACGCAATAAATTTATGCGATTTTAATAAAACGTATAATTTTATAACCTTATTCTAACACATTTATACAAGAGATACATATATTTGGTATAAATGAATGACTTATGAGACCAAACAATTGTATTAGTTGTAGAAATCGAGCTCATAAAAACTAAAACTATAATGACCAAAAATATTTAAAAACTAGTTGTACTAAAA